ACAGTGCCTGCCTAAGAGTAAACTGACATGGACAAAAGAAACAAGTGGGCACAGCAGCGCATAAGCACAGAAGATCCTAATAACACTTGAATTCCAAAATACATGAAGCAAAAACTGACAGTACTAAAATAAGAATCACAAAAGTCTGCAATTATAGTTGGATACTTCAGCATTCCTCTTTATTTCTATAGAATGTCTATAGATAGAAGATGAGGGACGATATAAAGATCTGAACAACACTCAACCATCTTGGCCTAATTGAAATATTTTGTAAAGTAATCCTATTAGCAATAACAGAACACACATTCTTTCCAAATGTACATGGAACATTCATCCGGATAGACCATATTTTAAGCCATGAAATAAACCTTAACAAATATAAAATAATCGAGATCATACAATGTATGTATTTTGACCATAGTAAAATTAAACTAAATAAATAATATAAATCTGGAAAGTCTCCAAATGTCTGGAAATAAAACAACAAATTTCTAAATAACCAATGGTTTTAAGCAGCAATAACAAAGAAAATTAGAAAACATCTTGAACTTAATGAAAATGAGAAAAAGATACCATACCAAAATGTGTGGAATGTGTCTAAAATAATGTTTAGAGGGCAACTTATAGCATTTAAGGTTTATATTAGAAAAGAAAAAAGTCATATCAATAGTCGAAGTCTCCACTTTATGGAGCTATAAAAATAAGAGCAAATTAAATAGAAAGCAAAGTAGAAGGAAAGAAAGAATGAGGATAAGAGCAACAATCAATGAATTTGAATACAGAAAAACACTAAAAATCAGTGAAACCAGCTCTGGTTCTGTTAAAAGTTAATAAAGGGATTAAACCAAGGGAAAAAAAGAGAAGGCTCAATTACAAGTACTGAGAATGAAAGGGGATAGCACTACAGACGTGATAGACTTTTGTTTTACGTTGTGTTTTCTTTTTTCTCCTTTATGTTATTTTTGGCGATTTCATCAGATTGCTATACATTCCATGTTTGCTCCAAAAAAGGAAGAAGTTAAAATTTAGGAGATAATAACAGAGTTTGAAAACTACTTGAGAGAAATAAGGATGAGGGAGAAAAAGTCAACTGGGTAGAACCTTAACCTGACATGCCAAATTCAAAATAGAAACTAGTTCATTGATGTGTTATTTTCTGGGGAATATGAGTCTGAAGGAGATGGAGATTTCACTTGGGGCACACTACATTTTAATTTTCTAAGGGACATTGAAATAGAGATATCTATTAAGAAGATAAATATGTGGGTTTGTTGTTTTAAAAAATGGTGTTAAGTAGAGATTCAAGTTTGGGAGAGGTAAGCTTACTAGTGGTATTAAAACCATGAGAGTAGTTTGGTGATGTGTAGATTGAGAAAGATGAGGCCTAGGATGACAACTCCCATCTTTGTAAAAGTTATTTCCAGTTCCTTGGTATTTGAAGACACCACAGGAAGCAGAGTCTCAAGTACCAGGGAAAGAACTAGCAGCAGCAGCTCTGGAGTTTGGTCTTCAAAGAAGAACCTGGAATAGCTCCCTATACTACAGTGGGGGTGGAGCTGTGTATACAAATGTGAGCACACATATGCAGGCACCTCATCTATCTAAAGCTGTTTAAAAGAGAACAAAGTCCGAACTAAATGTTAGTGGTTGGAAATGTTGAGGAATTGTCTAACAAGGGCAGTGCTAATACTGGAGCTGCCAAACAACCAGACTGTGCTGTTAAACGTGAACAGCATTATGTTAGGGTTTTTGGTTTGTTTTTTCCATAAGAATCATAAAACACTAAAATGAATTAATAAGGACAATGATATTTGAAAGATACTGCTATAATGTTATTAATAAATATTCCAAGATAGACAAATATTATAGGGTTATGGTCATAGGCATATTTATAGGGGATAAATCAATTTTCTGAAGTTATCTAGAATTGATATTTATTCTAATATGTGTTGTCAAACTTTGTCTGTTATTGTCCAAATTCTTGCTTCTTTCTTGAAAGCCAAAGCTGGCTTGATGAGGGAGAAATATTCTTCTGCAGTCATAAAATGAAAATCTTTTTGTATCTTAATCACTTTGCCAGCAAGAGCTCTCCCTGTATGATTGTGTGGACCTATAAACCTTTAATAACATCTATGATTTCCTTTTAGTTATTGAAAAATAGTGTTACGATTTTGTATTTAGTTTGCTAAGAACAAAGATTCCTTCATCATACTTCAAGAAAAAAACTTTGTGGTAAAGCTTCATATGAATTGCAGATGCAAAACTTTCAGGTAACCAAGAGAGCTTGAGGAAAGAGCTACTGCCTCCATCCCTGCAATGAGCTGTGTGATTTCTCTTACCACATCTTCTCTGCCCCTTACTCATCTGTTTCTACTGCTGCTCTGCTGACTGACCTCCTCTGCCCTATGTCTCATGTCCAAGTATGTCTAACATGTAACTTCTTCATGCCATAGTTTCCTGGCTCGCCTCCTTTTAGATTCTTTCCCCATTTCCATCTGGCTCTTTATTTTCAACTTTAGGTTCATGAGAATAAGAGTGATTAATCTAGCTCATCTTTTCTTGCCAGTTTGTTTCATAGGTTTCTGCTCGTCTATTTTTAAATTTAGTTTAAATTTAATTTTTTTTTTTTTTTTTTGAGATAGTCTCATTCTGTTACCTAGGCTGGAATGTAGTGGTGTGATTGTAGCTCACTGCAGCCTCCAACTCCTGGGCTCTAGTGAGCTTCTCTAACTTTCTGTAGTAGCTGGGACCACAGATGCATGCCATTGTGCCTGCTTCATTTTTTTAAGTTTTAGAGATGAGTTCTGTGTTGCCCCAGATGGTCTCAAGCTCTTAGCTTCAAGCAATCCTCCTGCCCCGGACTCCAGAGTCGCTGAGATTACAGTCATGAACCTGCACCCATTTCATCAGCTAGTCTACAGATTGCCTATTCTTGGGTCAAGTATTCATCCATACAGTACCTGCTCATTTATGTATTTCAAAACTTGATCATTTTGGCAGAAATATTTACAGATGAGGAATTTTTCACTTTGAAAAAGAGATTCACATAAGGAAGTTTGAGCTTTCCATAAATGTTGTATAGACTTTAATCCAGATTCTGTTACATTATCTTATATAACAAACTACTGTCTTTTATAAATTAATTTATGGTATTTAGAAATGCAGATTGTGGGGTGAAGTCAATTCTATAATAATTCCAAGCTTGCTATCTTCTAGTCTAGAAATAGAAAACATACATAATCCTCAGTTGAAATATAAACACTTCAGTTTTCCACCTGTGGTCTAGGGCATTTAACTTCTAAACCTCAAATCTTAGCCCTGATTCCACTTCTAAATTCTACATAAAATTTCAAGTACTTTTGAAAATACTCTGTTCAGGGCCTTGGCCTCTGGATAGCCCTCTATCTTTTAGGAGTGCCTTAAAGGCCATTTCATAAGGAGGAAAAACTGAAGCCATTGCTCTTTTGGGGATAGTACAAGTCACCCTGTATCTTTCTTTCCGCAAGGAGTTTTGTAGGCTTTCTAGACTATAATGGAGTTGAAGGTCTTTCTCCTTTGAGGAGTTCCTTCAAAGCAGGTAGTAATAGCCTCATCACTTTTGTCCACACATCAGGGCACTTCATTATATTTTAAACCTTAGATGTTATGGCTTACTTAAGTGTTTTGTGGATTATAGCGAAAATCCCTACAAATTCCGGGAATTCCACCATAATCTTCTACACTTTGCCCTCACCTGTATGCAACACAGTCCTTCTGGATTTCAAGAACTATCCACAATCAGGCTCAGATGTGACATTCCCTTGTTTTGTAATCAGATGAATCTGGAAATAGAAAGTTATGTGTAGTAAAGTGAGGAAGTGGGTGGAGAGAGGTGGAAAGGAAGGAAAAAAGAACAAATCTGAGGGGATCAGGGACACTTTGTATTTATGGTAGTGTTTGGATTTCTAAGGGAAATGGAAGGATGTCTGGCAAGGAGAGAAGTCAGTCATGATTTTTAGAAGGTGATTGTTTTCTTCAGAATTCAAAAATATTTTGTTTTCTTTCTTTGTTTTTAATTTTCAAGATGATTATAGAGCTTGGGACATTCAGAAAAGGAAACTTTATAAACCAGAACAAACTTACCATCCCCCTACTGTGAAATTTGGAAATTCAACTACATTTCAGGATGACTATCTTCCTCGAGAGATAAAGCTTAGGCAAAGCTTTAAACCCTTCTCTGTGGTCAAACGGTCTACAATACCTTTTAATGGTGATACAAGCCATCGCCTGGATTACGTACCTCATCAGCTAGAACTTAAGTTTGAAAGGCCAAAAGAAGTTTACAAACCAACCAACCAACCCTTTGAAGATCTTACAACTCATCGGAATGACTTTCAGGGACTTGGTGGTGAAACTGCAAAAATCTGCAGACCTGCATACACCAGAGTGACCCAAAATGCTCAATTTCAAGGAAGCACTGAATTCCAGGAAAGTTTTCAATCATGGGAAATCCCACCACCCGGAGTCAAGAGAGTCCCAGAGTATGTGCTCCCTGCAGGGAGCATGGAGTTAACCAGCACAAGCCGTCTGGACTATGTTCCACATCAGGCCAGTCGTGTTGTTCCTATCCGGCCTGCTTCTCATAGAAGAAATAACAATTTTCCTTTCCAAGGAAAAAGCACCATGAAGGATGATTTTCCAGCATGGGAAAGCTGCCGTCAAGGACTTATTAAGCAGCAGCAGCAAATTCCCAGCCCATCTGGAAAATTTGATGGTTTGAGCACTTTCAGATCTCACTATGTGCCACATGAATTGATTCCAACAGAGAGTTGCAAACCTTTAAATGTTACTTTCAAGAGTTCTGTTCCATTTGATGATGTAACCACGTACTCTATAGAGTACACACCAAAGAAACAGGAAATCTGCCCAGCTAGTTATCCCTCTCCTCCTGGTTATATATTTGACAATATAAATTCCCAGGGTCATAAATTCTTTCGTAAGATTATCCCTGCATTGAAGGCCTTCTAATCATCAAATTCTGTTTAAAAGGAAGCTAGCTAGCAAATTGTTTGTTTTTCGAGGGAAAAATCAATTATTGTAGTGAAAAACATTTTTGAGAGACAATTATTTTTTAGGTTTTTAAATAAGAAAATTGGAAAATGTATTATAGGAGATCAGAATCTTAAAATCCATTTGTATTCATATTTTAATCATGATTGCTCTTTAAATTCTATTTCTCAAGGTTAAATAATGTACATTCTCCTCTGAACAATTTTAATACCAAACATCTTGTTTTGTAGCTTGTTCCCAATCTATTATCATTTATACTTCGTTTATAATGATGGCAGTTGTATGGCTGTTCACATTGCAGTTGTCATTCAGCAAGCACATTAGGACTACATAAAGCACCATGGAACATGATAGGAATTTCTCTTCCAAGACAGTAGCACTTCAAGGTATCTACACAGTGTATACCATCAAGTTTGTGGTGTGGAGACTGCTGCACTGCTCCTCACCACGTCCAAGGTAGCGGGAGGCGTTGTGGTGCAGCAAGGAGAGGCTCTGTGGGAGGGGATCAGAGGACTCAACTTCTAGTTCTAATGATGTCATTTTCTATTTGTGTCACCATAGGCAAGTGACTCATGTCTCTGAGCCTCAGTGTCTTCATTTGTAAAAGGAATAAATATTTTTTCTCAAAAAATATGTTTTGAATATCAGATTGTATGATACATTTTAATACATAAAAGTACACATGTAATGAATTGTGTTAATAAATCATTCAATCTTTTTTATACTTGTTTTAATACTTGGTTGCACTTGTTAATACTTGTTTTTATACTTGTTGTTTCAAATTAAAATAATTACCTATTCAATCCTCATTTTCTGGCAAGTAGCAAGGATGGTAAAATAACAATAATTTGCTTTGCGCTTAACTAATACTCTGTACTTCTGAGAAGAGCCTGTCTTTTAAAGTTTCATGAACACCCAAGAAGTTATTATAGAGAATGAAGAGTTTGGATTGGGGTAAATATACTTGCTTTGAGTGACAGTATTTGCATAAAGGAAAAAGTATTTGCTCGAGTAGTTTTGGGAAGACTGACAGCTCTGAAGAAATCTTCAGGGTAAACTTAGGTAATTTATGCCTCTAATTGCCACACCCTTAATCATTGTTCAGAAGCAGCACCAGGGCCAGTGTGGGTCATAATCACCTTGTTTACTTCTTCCACTCTGAAAATGAGTGCTAAAAAGGGAGGAAAGGAATGATGCCAGTGTGTGAAGTAGAAACAACATATTGCATTTATAAATGATAAACATTTCCTAGAATTAAACTGTTATTGGGTAATGCCATATCAATGTAAACTCATCTCTTGTAACAAATGTGCCACTCTAGGGGGATGTTGATAGCTGGGGAGACTCTGCATGTGTGGGGGCAGAGGGCATATGGAAACTCTCTGAACTTTCCATTAAGTTTTGTTGTGAACCTAAAACTGCCCTAAAAATGTCTATTTTGAAAATAATTTTTAAAAACCCTTCACAGCAGCAGCTGGGAAGTGGTCACCAGTCAGAGATTGGGAACCCCACACCCCAGCTTCTTAATACATCAAGTTTACAGGTTTTCTTTTATACAAAATTACAATCTAAGGCCCTCTCTGAGAGTTGCTGTTTGAGAAGAGAAGTTTCATAACACTCCCAAAGAGGAGGGGAGACCTCTAAACAACTCAGCAGAGAAGGGTAAGTGAACCTTGTAATCATGAGTGCACAAACTTCAAAAAGGCTGTCTAAAATGCATGCTGATCACATACTTCTGAAAAGGGTCACAGTGTCCAGTAAAACATCTTTTATTTTGTTAAGGCTTTTGCTTTTTTTCTCTCTGTCTACTCAATGCTTTTTTACATGGAAGTGAAGATTTTTCACTCTATGCTACAGACACAGGACATTCATCAATGTCATCCCCCCACAGCCTATCCATAAACAGCACACAGCTTGAGAGCTGTTGTTTAGAGTGGCTAGTGATATTTCACCCATTATGATTCCTTTGTTTGTAGCCACTGTGGAACTATAATGGCTAGCAAGGAAAAGTGGCTCAAAGATACTTACAGACAGCAAGTAAAAGGAAAATTAAGACAAAATAAACCATGAAAACATGGGTAAAAGTTCCAAACAGGCACTTCACCAAAAAAGATGCAGATGGTGTATGAATTGGCTAAGTATCACAAAGTGAATGGCTTTACAAGAGGAATTTTCATCTGTATATTCTGGAGGCTATAGGTCTCCAGACTAAGGTGTTGGCATGGCTGGCTCATTCTGAGGCTGTAAAGGAAAATAAGCCCCCTTCCTGTCCTCACCGCTGGTGGTTTGCTGGTGATTTGCATGGTTTCTGAGGAAATGTTGAATATAATTATCTTCCCTCCTCCATAGGTAAGCTACTGTTTTTCCTCTGGCTTCCTTCCAACTTCCTTGATTTGTAGAGCTCTGCCTTCATCTTCACGCTGCATTCTCCCTGTGTGCACACATCTCTCTTAAGTGTTCCCCTTTTTATAAGAATACCAGTCCTAGCATATTAGGGCTCATCCTAATGAGCGCATTTTAACTCAATCATTTGCAAAGACCCTATTTCACAATAAGGTCACAATCACAGGTACTGTGGTTTGGAACTACATTTTCTTAGGGAATAATCTAAACCATAAAAGATGGCAAATAAGGCTCGGCGCCTATAGCTCAACCGGCTAAGGCGCCAGCCACATACACCTAAGGTGGCGGGTTCGAATCCAGCCCCGGCCCGCCCCAAACAACAATGA